AAGAGAAGTCATTTAAAAGTAGTTCATTTCCCTTCTTTGCAATCTCCTTATCTTGACTTGGTCCCTCTTGTACAAGACAGGATTTGTTGTACCAAACAACTGACAAAAGAGAAACAGTCCAAACACGATACAAGCATCCATGAAATTTATGCCAAAGACTCTCAAGATGCAGCCTGCAAGTTCAGGCTGGAAAACGAAGTGTTTTATTTCATTTGAAGAACCGATTATCTGATTAATGGCCATGAGTTTGTGAAATGTTCCTGATGAAGGAATCGATACTGGTTGCAGATGATCCCTTTCTGTCAATGGCATGTAGAAATTTTTGTTTAAGCTCTTTACCTCTGTCCCTCATTTCTGTCACTTCAACACTTTTCAAATCCATAAATTTTAGCACAAGCCTGGAAATTTCGTCTCTTGTCACCAAATCCTCTGCTAGGAACTGTTTTTCCACCCTCCACCCGATCTTCCAATCATCCACAATCAGCTTACTGTTCAGCTTCTGATCTGCAACCAGAGGAAAGGTAAGAAAAGGAACGCCTGCAAAAATACCTTCTCGAACAGAATTCCATCCGCAGTGACTCCAAAATCCCCCTACGGAAGGATGGCATAGCACCCTCAGCTGGTCACACCAAGGCAGCACAAACCCCTGATCACTGCAAGCCGCCTCCATCCTGGAAGTCTCGTAACGGACCACCCACAAGAACCGAACACCGCTGTCATTCAAGCCAGCAGCAATTTCATCCATTTGGGCACTTGAAACTGAAAGAAAACTTCCTAGTGACACATACAGAACAGAGTTCCTAGGTTGTCTGTCAAGCCAGTGTAAGTAGGTAAGTTCATCGTCGCTAAGGTTTGAAGAGGAACTGTTGCCAAGCTCAAGGTAAGGAATGGCAGGCCCGACAGTGTAGACTGGGAAGGGAAATTCTGCCTTCAGAGCATCAACTGCTTTTGTTTCAAGCTCGTAAATTGAAGCAAACAAGAGATAATTTGCTTTACGCACCCATGAAATACTATCCAACATCTGCTTCAAGAAAAACAAAGACCGTGAATCCTCATTGATTTTTGCGATAGGAAGGTCCAATAGACTTGTCGAAGAAAGCCCAGGGATGTAGTCCACTTGCTGATGATTCTTTTCTGTCTTATATACAATTTGAACACAAAGAAAACAAATAAACTCAATCAATGATGATTTGCATTAATTAGCATGATCGGTTTTCTTTGATACTTATACTCCAATTGTTCACCATTGGATGAAATTGAAGAAAAATGTCATATGGAAGCCTGTTGAACTAGGGCTCGCTTTGTTAGAACAAAGCCAATCAAAGTTTCTGTCAACTGCTCATACTTTACTGTTTTGTTATTTGACATGCTACTGTCTTCACTAATGTCAGGAAGTATGGTTAAGCTTATTGAGTAGTTGAATGAGTCTTGAAGTGTACAAGCTAAGCTGGAAAGCTATGTTTCACATATATGCTAATGAATGAATGAATCTAAGGTTCGGTTAGCCTTTTTGCAACACTTTCTTCTTTCTTTTCTTTACTGTTCTCTGGTTCTCTGTTCTGTGCTATGATTCGGTGTTAACATTGAATGTATAGATGCTTAGTTCTAATGATTTCTAAGCTAAACAGTAAAAGCTCTATGAGCTAGGAAATCATGCAATTATCAGTACACAAAAAGAAAGAAAAATAACATATAATGAAAGCTGAAGCTAACAGTAAAGGAAGTCCATTCTCGAATTTCAGCAATGGCTACATTACCTAACGGGTCTACTGGGAAGTGCCCGTTTTCCCGGAAAAGATGAAAATGGTGAAATACCGAAAACATCAGAGCTGACATAGGCCAAAACGAGGCCACCGGAATATTCCTCCGGTTCCCAGCAGATACTGCCCAAAAGAGAAACGTATCAGCCATGATGAGAGTAGCCGGAGGGTTAAGCTGATCCAGAAGGCACTCAAAAGGAGCATCCATCTTTGTCCAAACAGCTTCTGCGAATCCAAACAGGTCAGCAGCCCGAACCAGCTCCGATGGCAAAACGTTTGGTATGGAGCAGAAATGGATATTATCAGGTTTAGGATCTGAGCCGATGAAGCCGAGCCACTCCTCGGTGACTACAAAGGTAATGACTATGTTGTTGGATTTTGAGGCGAGGATTTTGCAGAGGTTCATCATGGGGTTGATGTGGCCTCGACCAGCGGACGGCACCGCCACCACGTGGCACGGTGTACTTGGCTTTGAGCTTATGGAGTTCATAGCTGAAATGTTTTCCATTGCGTAGGAACTTGGAAGTTGGAACGCAGATGATGAAGGGGCTTCTGTCATTTACAAAAATGTAAGTGGTTGCAATTGTTCAAACTAGGATAGTGACCTTTTGCCCTTTCAATGAATATGGGTCATGGACTAATAGTATCATTGACTTGTAACAGTAGTATTAAGGAAATTTCTTGGTGGTTGTTGAGAATAGGAGTGAAAATTTTTAGTCAATAAATTCTTTAGCTTGATTGCAGTAATTGCTTCAATTAAAAGAATTTTATTTGTCGAACTCCACAGCTTGAGGAACTACAATTTGATCAATGGCCATGAAATTCTGAAATGTTCTGAATGAAGGAGTTAATATTGGTTTCGGATGATCCACGCCTCCCAATGGCATGTAGACATTTCTCCTGAAGCTCTTTGGCTCTGTGCCTAATTTGTTTCCCTTCATCACTCTCCAAATGCATAAACTTTTGCACCAGAAAGGAAATTTCGCCTCTTGCCACCAAATTCTCTGTGAACTGTGGTTTCACTCGCCACCCAATCTTCCAGTCCTCTACAATGAGCTTACTGTTCAGGTTTTGATCAGCAAATAGAGGGAAGGTAAGAAAAGGAATACCTGCAAATATACCATCTCGAACAGAATTCCACCCGCAATGACTCCAAAATCCCCCTACGGAAGGATGGCATAGTACCCTCAGTTGGTCACACCAAGGCACCACAAACCCCTTATCACCACAACCATCCTTCAGCCTGGAAGTCTCCTCTCGAGCCACCAGCAAGAACCGAACACCGCTGTCTTGCAAAGCGGCTGTTATTTCATCCAATTGGGCACTTGAAACTGAAAGAAAACTTCCCAGTGACACATACAAAACAGAGTTGCTAGGTTGTCTGTCAAGCCAGTGTAAGCAGTCAGATTCAACTTGGCTAGGACTTGAGCAGGATTTGTCTCCAGGTTTGGAACAAGGTATGGCAGGGCCAACTGTGTAGATCGGGAAGGAAAACTCTGCCTTTAAAGCATCAATGGATTGAGATTCAAGCTCGTAGATTGAAGGAAGCAACAGATATTGTGCCTTGCCCACACACGAAATACAGCACAAGATTTGCTTCAATATAACCGGATAGATCCCTCCATTAAACCCTGGAAGGTCCAATAAACTTGTCGAGGAAACCCCTGGAATGTAGTCCACCCGCTTTGTCTCGTTGTCTACCTCGTGTACAATTGATAAATAAGCAAAATAAATTCAATTAAAATTCTATTCTTTACTACCAACAAGAAAGAATGAAAACAGAAAATCAGCTTGTTATGTCTCTTTAAGAGACTTCATTAATAAATTTACCTTGAAAAAAACAGTAAATCAGAAAAGAAAACATAGTATATAGATTGAAAACAACAAAAAAGAATGTGCATTACCTGATAAATCCACTGGGAAGTGACCATTTTCCTGGAAAAGATGAAAATGCTGAAACACCAGAAACATGGAAGCTGACATGGGCCAAAAGGACGCAACAGGAATGTTCCTCCTATTTCCAACAGATACTGCCCAGAAGAGATGCGTGTCAGCGATAATAAGAGTAGCCGGAGGCTCAAGTTCATCTAATAGCCGCTCGAATGGAGCCTCCATCTTAGTCCAAACAGCTTCCAAGAATGCAGCCATATCAGAAGCTCGGACCAGCTCGGATGGCAAAACGTTGGGTATACAACAGAACCGGATTTTGTCAGGCTTCGAGTCAGAGCCTATGAAGCTGAGCCACTCTTCAGTGACCACGAAGGTGATTAGAATGTTGTCGGATTTCGAAACTATTGCTTTGCAAAGGTTCATTATTGGGTTAATATGGCCTCGACCAGGGTACGGCAGCGCCACGACGTGGCTTACGGTTGGCTCTGAGCTCATGGAGTCCATGTCTGAATCGTGTTCACAAGCTGGTTTGAACTTAGAGGATGGGAAGGGTTTATACTCTAAAATGGTGAAACATTCAAATAACAAGAGGAACCCCCTTGCAACTTGTATCTTCTTAAGAAGAAAAAGGGTTTTCTTTTATTTGTTTAATTTTCTTAGCAATATGGGGAAGTGTAATCTTAGAAATGCTAAACATATGAACATGTAACCAATAAATTATCATACTGTAAAGGTTGAATTGCTTTTCTGTTTTGGGTCTTCTTATTTCTAAACCCAAACAATAAGCAAGTGGGAAGATTCCAAACCGACCGAATATTTGTGTTCACTGCTGAACAGTAAAATCAATGGGAAAAGATACAAAAAGAAATAGCCTTATCGTAGTTTTAGGCAGTGTGGGGAAATGTAATTGGAGTCAGGTGCATCCTAAGAATACTTACAATGCAAAACACAAGGTTTTAGCCTATTGCCATCTCCTTGTTCTTAAAATTTGTACTACAAGATAACATAATAGATCAGGGTCCGTATCCTTGTTAAATGGAATCAAGGAACGCATCAAGGTTAGCAGCAGAGGACCCACCTTCAGAAATTGCGACCAGACATTTATCCTGGAGTTCTTTAGCTCTTCTTCTAATTTCCTTTGCCTCATCGCTTTCAACATCCATAAACCTCCGCACAAGCTGTGCAATATCCTCTCTGGTGACCAATTTTTCAGCTCTCACAGTACTCTTCACCCTCCACCCATTTTTCCAATCTTCCGCGATTTGCCTGCTGTTAGTATCTTGGTCCAAAAACAGAGGAAACGTAAGCATTGGAACACCGGCGAAAGCTGCTTCCAGGATGGAATTCCATCCACAGTGTGTCCAAAATCCCCCTATGGACGGATGGCACAGTACCTTCAATTGGTCACACCAAGGAATCACTAGCCCCATATCACCACAACGATCTTGCAACCTCGAAGGCTCTTCTCGGGCCACCCACAAGTATCGAACATCGCAGATTTGCAACCCGGCAATAATTTCATGCATCTGGGTGTTTGAAACTGAAAGGAAACTTCCCAATGAGATGTACAAGACAGAAGCTACCTGTTGAGAATCCAACCATTGGAGGTAGCTACTAGTTTTACAGGAACCATCTTTAAGTTCCAAGTATGGTATGGCAGGGCCAATGGGGTAAACTGGAAAACTAAAAGTTGCACTTAAGCTGTCCAAGACTTGGGGTTCAAACTCGTACACTGAAGTGAATAGGAGATACTGTGCCTTGGCACCCCTGAAATGCAATCAAGAGCAAGCTCCAAGACTGTTTCATTGTCCCTATAGAAAATTGTTCGAAGTTCTGCTACATCGTATGAAGAAATTCCTGGGATGTTGTCCACTTGTTCTATGACAAGGAAGAATGGGAAAAAACCAAAACAAAATAGAAACAGTTAGATATATTATTAGTTTCAAGACTTGTTAATTCTTCTTAAATTCAGCACCCCTTTTGTAGAAAATAATCGTCTACCTGTCAGATTAACTTTTGCATGGCTATGTTTTATATGAAGATCAAAATGATGAAACATGGAAAACACAGAAGCCGACATCGTCCAAACCAGAGCCACCGGAATATTCCTTCGATTACCGACACAACTGCCCCATCGAACCTCGATATCTCCTATGATGACTGTTACCGGCAACTCAAGTCGATCCAGAAGCTGCTCAAAGGGAGCTTCCATTTTTGTCATCATAGCTTCGTAGAAGCCTGGAAAGTTGGCAGCTCTAAGCCGCTCAGGTGTGATGACATTTGGGATTGCTTCAAAACGTATATTATCAGGCTTGGGGTCAGAGCCGATGCAGCCGAGCCATTCTTCTGTGACAACAAAGGTTATGAGAATATCCTGCCTTTTCGACACTAGTAGCTTGCAGAGGTTCATCATGGGGTTGATGTGACCACGCCCAGGAAACGGTAATGGCTACCACGTGGCACACCGTGGTTGGTTGCGCATTTGTCGACTCCATGTTTGAAACTTGACCGAATGATTTGATGAGTTCGGAAGAAAATGGTATGAAATGAGATTCACAGAGGATGAATATGTTTGTCAGCGACTGGGACAAGATCAAAAGACAAATGGGAGACAAATGGGAGTAATTAAAACCATACAGAATCAACTAATGATGTGGAACATAACACATTTTTCTTGGACTTTACTGCCGAGAGAAAAAAACCAAGGCCAAGTCGTAATTTTCAAACAACCTCTGTTCTGAGTCATCACTCGTCTCTACCTGCCCTGTCTCCAGGTGTATTTGTCTTTTCAAAGGGGTTTTAATGACTTAATATTTTAAGAAAACAAACAAAATTGTGGTCAATTGTTAGAGTGTCGCTCAAAAGATGAGGTAAGGGATGACTCATAATATTACTAGGAAGAACATGGTTTGAATGATTTAATCTTTCATCGGGCATATGACAAATTTTCCAAGGTTGAAAAAGACAACAATCTCTTCCTTTATTTTCATTTTGTTCCTATCCTATCAGAGGATTCTTGTTTATCTTTTCCCGAGGCAGCAAATGGTTTTTTCTCTCAGCTGTCTTGTACCTAGTAGGCTGTTACATTCATGTTGAATTTGATTTCTCCTTTTGATTGGGGGTCAAGAATTTATTGAAGGAACCGAAACTTTCGCAAATTTTGGGCATTTGGGTGTGCCTATGCAATTGGACCCGATAAGGGATTTGCTATCTTTTCTCGGGAAAATTGAGAGGCCTGGTGGATTTGAGATTGAAATTTTATGTTGTTTTGAGTTCTAGAGTTACAGATGCAGTTATAACTCAAGTTCATTGAGTATTTCCTGTTTATTTTACTCTTGGTTCATCCAGAAAATCCTGAACCACATAAATGGCATATGACGCAAAAGTTGCTGTCAACTGATAATCAACAAAGTAAAACAAGTGAGTAAAATTTATATTAATCTGCTATGTAGTTATTCAAGGCTATAGAAAATTAAAGTTCCAACTGGACATCAGAATCAATCTAATCAATGAGCATGGCGCCATAGCCTTGTGAGATGTGGTTGATGAAGGCATCAAGGTTCATTTGAGATGATCCGCCTTTGGCAATTGATTTCCGACATTTCTCTTTGAGTTCTCCTGCTGATCTTCTCATGTTTTTCACCTCATTGTTCTCTGGATCCATAAAACTTCGGACAAGCTCTGCAATTCTAGCTCTCGTCACCAAACTTTCATCTCTATGTTGTTCCTTCACCCTCCATCCAATCTTCCAGTCATCAACAATTTGTTTACTATTTGGAGCTTGATCAAAAATAATGGGAAAGGTCAGCATTGGAATGCCTGCAAAGATAGCTTCGAGAGTGGAATTCCAACCACAGTGTGTTAGAAATCCCCCAACAGAAGAATGGCATAGCACCTTCAATTGATCGCACCAAGGCACTACTAACCCCACACCATCACAACTGTCCCTTAGCCGAGAAGTTTCTCCACGAGCTACCCACACGTATGGAACACCACTATCTTGTAGCCCAGCTGCTATTTCGTCCATTTGCTCGTTTGAAACTGAGAGGAAACTTCCTAAGGAGACATACAAAACAGAACATGGAGGTTGAGAATCTAGCCATTGCATATAGTTAGGGACATTTGGAAAGGTACTCTCTGAGGAGTTCTCATGAAGGTCAAAGTAGGGGATTGCAGGGCCAACTGGGTAGATGGGAATATTGAATTTTGACTTTAGAGCGTCCATGACATGTCTTTCGAGCTCATAGACTGAAGTGAATAGAAGATATTTTGCCTTTGGCACCCATGAAATGCATTCCAAGGTAAGCTCGATGACTCGCGGTGCATTTCCTTCAAGAAGCACTTGAAGGTCTGCCAAATGACCTGGTGAAATTCCAGGGCTGTGCTCAACAAGTTCACTGCTCTTATCTGCTACACAGTCATCAATCAATTGCTATCATTATTTACTATTTGAGACATCTAGGAATGAACATGAAGAAATCAAACTAAGAAATGTTATACTGCAAATTAGTACCTAACAAATCAACTAAGAAATGGCAATTTTGTGCGAGGTCAATGCTCTGCAATATGGAAAACACGGTTGCTGATGTTGTGCAGAGTGAGGCCACAGGGAAATTTCTTCTATTTCCCACGCGAATTGCCCATTGCAGCTCAGTATCAGCTATAATGGCAGTCACTGGTAGCTTGAGATTATCAAGGAGCTCCTCAAATGGAGCTTCCATCGTTGTCATAACAGCTTCATAAAAGCCAGGAAAATCGGCACCTCGAACTAGCTCAGATGGGAGAACGTTTGGTATTGAAGCAAAGTGTAAGTTATCAGGCTTGGCGCAGGATCCAATGAAGCCTAACCACTCTTTGGTAACAACAAATGTGATTTCAAGATCATGCTTTCTTGAAGCTATTAACTTACACAGGTTCATCATAGGATTGATATGGCCTCTACCAGGATAAGGTATAGCCACCACATGAGTGCTGCTAATAGGTTTCATGCATATAGAACTCATGCCAGGAATTTAACAAAGAAGAAGATAAAAGTGAAGAATTCTGAAAACAATCAGAGGCAAACACAATTAAACTAACAAATTACTTCTTATTTTTGTCACTTCCCAGCTAGTTTGTTTATATATATATATATAGTTGTGAAGATAAATATACAAATTATTTAGTTAGAGTTATTATACAATAATATTATCTAGTTAGACTACAATTAAACTATTAAGATTAGTCTTATATATATATAGATATATATCAATACACCATTTACAATTTTATATTGTATAAGATTTTCTTTTATTCTAATATGGTATGATAGATCAAGATTCTCTTAATCTAACAATAACTACTATCTGTCTTCTTGCTCATGTTGATATTAATTCTAGAAATGACACTCATCCATCTGAATATTCTTGGCAGTTTTATGCAGGGTGAATTTATCTATCTTGAACTAATATTTGTGGTAGCCATTTGGACCACAAGCAAATGTTGTTTCTATTGACTTTGACTCTTAAAACTTAGAAAGGGCACATTTCATTCCACTTTCCATTATTGATCTGATGATTGCTTTAAATTCTATGAATATTCACTGTTTAAGTTAAGGGTTTGTTTTAAAACCTGCTCCATAGTTGATAGACAGGAATAGGAAAATGAATTCTACATAATGGAACAGAAAATTCTAGTATCTGCTTATTTCATTGTCATCGAAACACAAGTCCACTGCTTCCTCAATCCATATGAACTTCATGAAATCACAGGGTCCCTTCCATTGGCTTTAAATTATTTTAGGATTGAATAGAAATACATCAACATGCTTGATAGGGAGGGTGATTAGAAATAGCCCTGATGAAGGCATCAAGATTCGTGTCAGATGATCCCCCTTCTGCAACTGCTGCTTGACAAATATCTTGAAGTTTTCTTGCTCTTTTTACCATCTCATCCTGTCACTGCTTTCTGGATCCATGAACCTTTGTACAAGGTCTGAAATTTCTTCTCTTTTCATCAAAGTGTTGCTTCCTACATCCCTCTTCATTCTCCATCCAATCTTCCAATCTTCCACAATTCTCTTGCTATTTGTACCTTGATCCCCAAATAAAGGAAAAGTAAGCATTGGAACTCCTGCAAAAACAGCTTCAAGGTTGAATTTCATCCACAATGTATCAAAAATCCTCCAACAGAAGAATGGCACAAGACTCTCATTTGGTTACACCAAGGCACCACCAATCCTGAATCACTATGGTTGGCAGTAAACCGAAAAGTTTCTGAACGTGCAACCAGAATGTACCGAACACCACTGTTAATTACTCCACCAAAAATTTCAGCCATTTGGGCAGTTGAAGCTGAAAGGAAACTACCCATTGACACATATAAAACAGACCCTGTAGGTTGTGAATTCAGCCATTCTAGACAGTCAGGACCACTGAGCGGAATTTACAGATGAAATGTCTTTCAATTCAAAGCATGGTATATTGGGGCCAACAGGGTAGAGAGGGATGCTGAATTTTCCTTTCAAAGAGTCAAAAGACTGGAGCTTCAAGCTCATAGACAGAATTGATCAGAAGATAGTGTGCTGTGGTTAAACTTGACAAGGTTTCCAGGAGCCCTCGCAAGAAAGTTGGACTGTCTCCACTGAAAACTGTCGGGAGATCTGCCACACGTATTGGAGGAATTCCAGGGATGTAGTCCACAAGCTCGTGTCCTTGCTCTATCACAAGTTAAATTGAATTCATAAGCAAATAAAAATAATTCTACTTTCAATTAGGATTCCTCGTTTTTTTTTGGGGGGGGTACTATTTTCAATTAGAATTCCAGCATAGAATGATAGTAAACCATAAGTAAAATCCAGTAAAATTTGGCATACCTGATAAGTCAACTGGAAAATGGCCATTTTGTTTAAACAGATCCAAGTGACACAACATTGAAAACACTGTTGCCGGTGAGATCCTCAGTGCGGCCACAGGGATATTCCTGTAGTTTCCTGCATGTATAGCCCATACTAGCTCTGCGTCCGTTATTATGGTGGTCACTGGCAGCTCAAGGCGGTCAAGTAATTCTTCAAAGGGGGCTGTCATCTTTGTCATGACAGCCTGAATGAATCCTGGAAAGTCATCAGCTCGAACAAGTTCTGATGGGATCACATTTGGTATCAAGGCAAGGCGAAAATTACTATGCTTAGTATCAGAGCTAATGAAGCCTAGCCACTCTTCTGTAACAACAAATGTTATGAGAATATTATGTCTCTTCCTAGTTATGAACTTGCCAAGATTCATCATTGGATTAACGTGGCCTCGACCAGGATAAGGCAATGCCACAACATGGCAGCGATTGGGTTCTTCTGAAGGCATGTGATTCCGACTATGAACCTTTCTTTCTCTCAAGGCAAAGTTCTGACTTTCAGACCAGACTCTCAACAGAAGATGAAGCAGGTAAAGTTTCAGCTTTTGACCTTTTTGACAAGGATCTTATTGCCCGTTTCAAAGCTTGAAGGTGACTTCCAGCTGACGTCTATCATTTCCTTGCTGTAACCATGGGGGTGTTGAATGGTGTCGCTTTTGGAAAAGCTTTTGTCTTTATACTTTTGGGATAAGGACAGATTTTCATGAATATTAAGAGCAAGTAGCCAGCATTCGGTGATTAAATTGGTTTGATTGCTTTTTTATTAGAAAATAACCATCAATCAGATTATTGGCTTCACTATTTAAAGATGCAAATGAACCATTTGGTTTAGCAGTCTAGCTTAAGCTTAATGTATCAGAAAACAATCTAGTTCTTTATACCAGAAACGAAGGCAATTCCATGCTCACACGATCATAAGAATTTTGTTATTCAATGTTACCAACATGGATTTTTTGAGCAAAATATTAAATCCACATGAAACTTACCAGCATTGATCACATGATTCGTGGCAACAAATCAGCAAAGAACTACGAATAGCTAATGAGTGTGCCCTTCCGAGATGTTCTGGATGAAAGAATCCAGGTTAATATCCGAGGATCCGCCTTTTGCAATTCCTAGTTGACATGTTTCTCGAAGTTTTCCAGCCCACGTTCTCATTTCCTTCCCCTCGTTGCTGTCAAAATCCATGAACTTCCGCACAAGCTCTGCAATTTCTTCTCTCGTCATCAAATGTTCTCCTACCTTGTCCTTCTTCACTCTCCATCCAATCTTCCAATCTTCTACTATTTGCTTACTATTCGGAACTTGATCCCAAAATATAGGAAAAGTAAGCACTGGAACGCCCGCATAGGCAGCCTCAAGAGTGGAATTCCACCCACAATGTGTCCAAAATCCTCCAACAGAAGAATGGCATAGCACCCTTAGCTGATCAGACCAAGGAATCACTCGTCCCCGACCACCACAGCAGTCTTTGAATCGAGAAGAGTCCCCACGTGACACCCACAAGTACCGAACACCACTGTCGTGCACCCCAGCTACAATTTCATCCATTTGGGCAGCAGAAACTGATAGAAAGCTTCCAAATGAGACGTACAGGACTGAACCTTGAGGTTGGGAATCCAGCCACTGAAGATAGTCCGGGTTACCCGGACTACTACTTTCTGAAGAATTTTCTTTCAGGTCAAGGTAAGGTATGCTAGGGCCAATTGGATAGACAGGAAAAGGTAACTTCGCTTTAAAAGCATCAATGACTTGCAATTCAAGTTCGTAGACAGAGGTGAAGAGAAGATACTGTGCTTTGGGAACTAATGAAACACAATCAAGAGCAAGCTGCAAGGTTTGGCGGCCATTTCCATAGAAAATTGTTGGCAAATCTGCTAAACGAGTATGAGTAAGTCCAGGGATGTAATCCACAAGCTCATTTCCCTGCTCTGGTATGCACAAAAAAGATGGAGGTGAGAAGTAAATTATATCAAATGAGACATAAAATCAGTCTGTCAATTAACCAAGATATTAAAATAGTAGTTTTTTTCAATTGGCTGTGTGATTAGGGGTAACAAGACCATCTAGGCAAAGAGTAAAAAGGGTTGTGCCCTGATTTAAAGGACAAAAAAATATGATTCCATTGGCAGAGAAGAGAAAAGAGAGAGATATAACTAGTTATCGCAAATAATAAAAAAAATAATCATGGGCCTGCTCCCATTGAAAAAAAATTCTAAGGGAACCTTTCTGACGTTGAATCCGTAACTTTTCCAGCAGATTAGTTGCCAAATTTTCTTTCTTTATATTATAGAATACAAATTGTCAGCCATGAACGTGCTGCATTTTGATAAAAGATCTTGAACAAGGGCAAGATTTGCTTCAGATCCCGTCGAAAACAGCCCAAGGTTACCAGAAGTAAAATTAAAAACAGAAACACGACTAGAATCCAGAGACATACCTGACAAATCTGCTGGGAAGTGATGGTTTTCCACGAGGAGGTTGAAATGGTAAAAAACCGACAACACGGATGCCGACATGGTCCAAAGGAAAGCCACCGGAATATTCCTTCGTTTCCCTACTTCAACCGTCCAAGACATGTAAGTATCAGCTATGATGACCGTCACTGGGGATTCGAGCCGATCAAGGAGCTCCTCGAATGGAGCTTCCATCTTCGTCAGCACCGCCGCCACGAAGCCAGGGAAGTCCTTGGCTCGAACGTGTTCGGATGGGATTACGTTGGGGATCGTTCTGAACCTGACGTTGGCAGGCTTGTTGTCCCAACCGATGAAGCCGAACCACTCCTCGGTAACAACAAAAGTTATGAGAATATCGGTGCTTTTGGAGCAGAGCAGCTTGCAGAGGTTCATCATCGAATTGACGTGGCCTCGACCAGGATAAGGCACCACCACCACGTGGCATTTGCTGGTGTGTTCTGCTTTGGTCGTTTCCATTGCCTCGAAGTTTTCCGGTGGCTCTTTGATCGATTGGCTGAAGAGCTGGAGCTAGGAAAGGAGATTGAAACTGATGGAAAACCAAAACTAGGACGAGCCTGGTGCTTGCAGCGTATTCTGTCTGACTCTAAAAAGACAGTGGAAGAAAGTTCAATTACGAAAAATTTCACTATCACCTTCACTTAGTCGAATACGCTGTATCTAAATCTAGCAGATGGGTACCAACTTTCGTCCTTGCTTGACTGGTTGCATCACAATAATTCATGACAGTGACCATTAGCCATCGGACTGAAAAATTTCAAGGGAGCGCTTGATACGAGAAAGTATATTTTTTAATATATTTAATTAAATTATATTATAATATTTATTTTATAATAAATTATTATAATTTCAAATTTTAATACAGTCAAAAATTTAATGTGACTATAATTTAAAATTAATATAATTATATTATATTATATTTTATAATATTTTTATTTTTTAATTTTATTATTTTATTAAAAATATTTTATAATGTTATAATTTAAATAAAATATATAATATAAAAATAAAAAATAAAAAAAAATAAAATATAAAAAATAAAATTTATATAATATAAGTAAAATAAATTAAAATAAAATATATAATATAAAAAATTATATTAAAAATAAAAATAAAATATATAAAAATAAAATATATGATATTAAAAATATATTTAAAAATTAATAATATATAAAAATTAATAATAAAAAATATAAATATATTACATTTATATTTTAATAATTATAAATAATTTTAAAAATTAACATGAGTATTTGTAAATCAAATATTATAATATTATTTTATTTATATTTTAAATATTATAATATTATTTTTTATATAATTATATTATTTATAATCACATTACTTATAATCATATTACATTATAAAATATTAAAAACCATATGAAAAACATGTTTCTTAATAAGTCTTTATATTATCACTTTCCTTTGCAAATCATTCACGTTTCATCCACACCAACATAATTTCAAACAATTTATCATTGACTATAGTTTCATTATCACTGCCTGAATCCAATCTTTTGCTAAATAAATCAATGATAAGCTGTAGTTGTAAAATAAGAAGAGTAACTCTTGACAACACAAAAGTTTTCTAAGTTTTCGGAAAAATATTTTGGACGGTTTCAAGTGTTTGGAAGTTAAAAAATTATTTCTAGGTCAAAAGGAAAAATACTCATAGCCGTGGAAAAATGTTTTACTAAGAAACACAGAGGTTAACATAGTGGAAAATAAGAGAGAAGCACAGTACCAGCTCAGGTCTAATGGTGTTGCAAATGGCTCTCTGGATACTTCTTTTGGTTTAACAACATGAAAAGTCTTATGTGTTATTCAACGATGCTTTAAAGGGGGAAGAGGGAGTGACCGAAATGAAGAAAGTGGAATGAAAAAGGCAATCTCAAGAAGAAAGAAACCCCTCATTATTGCTGGACACAGAAGGGCACAAAGCAAAGTGCCGTGTACGGCAGTGATGCACCAAGCTCTGAGTGGTTTTCAGAAGGATTGGACCAGCATCTAAGTTGCTGACCTACATGTCAGTAGCTATTAATACTCAAGAGCGATAGACATGAATGCTAGGAAACATTAGAGAGGGAAAAAGGACAAGAAAAGAAGAGTATTCCTGGATGATCTTCAATTCTTATCTATTGCATTTCTTTGAAAATAGATCAATTCTTCTGAAATTTCTAGCTAATGAAATGTGATTAACGAAGTCAGACACTTATTCCATCTGCTCAATTGTTATTTGCGGCATTGTGAAATGTCATTAACAAAGGCTTGCACATCGGTATCTGATGATCCTCCCTTTTGAACTGCTTGTCGACAAACCTGGCTGAGTTTCTTTGCTCTTTTCCTCATTTCTTTCCCCTCTTCGCTTTCCAAACTCATAAACCTCCGGACAATCCCTGCGATTTCTTCTCTTGGCACCAAACTGTGTGCTTCCAACTTGTTCTTCACCCTCCAGCCGATCTTCCAATCTTCTACGATTTGCTTACTGTTTGGAGTTTGATCCCAATAAATTGGAAAAGTAAGCATAGGAACACCCGCAAAAATGGCTTCTGAAGTGGAATTCCACCCACAATGTGACCAAAACCCCCCGATGGAAGGATGACACAGTACTCTCAATTGGTCACACCAGGGCACTATCAAACCCTTTTCACCGCATTCATCTTTGAAACGAGGAGTCTCCTTGCGTGCAACCCAAAAGTATCTAACCCCGCTGATGCGCAACCCAGCTGCAATCTCATCCAGTTGGGCACTCGTAGCTGAATGCAAACTTCCTTGTGAAACATACAAAACAGAACTTTCAGGTTGTGAATCTAGCCACTGGAAGTAACTGTTGTCACTAGGATTCACCCCGGAATTGTCTTCCAGTTTGAAGTAAGGAATGGGAGGGCCGATGTGATAGATTGGAGTTGAGATTTGTTCTTTCAAAGCATCAATGATATGAGATTCCAGCTCGTATACTGAAACAAGCAGTAGATATTGCACTTTGGACACGCCCGAAACTGCTTCCAGGCCTCGATGCAAGACGTCTAGACCTTTTCCATACAGGCAAGTGGGAAGGTCTACTTTCCGAATTGAAGAAATTCCAGGGATACAATCAACACGCTCCTCTCCCTGTTCTGTCAAAATCATCATAAGAACTAAACTTAAAAGCATAGCTTGAAAACTACAAAAAAGTAAGGTAAATTTTATAGGTGTTTTCATATCCATCCAAGTACCTAACAAATTAATGGGGAAGTGTCGGTTCTGGACCAGGAGATCAAAATGATGGAAAACGGAATATACCAAAGCCGGCATGGTCCAAAACGATGCTAGCGGAATTTTCCTTCTGTTCCCCACCCTAACGGCAAACGTCAGATAAGTATCATAAACGATGGTGGTAACAGGCGGTTCAAGCCGATCGATGAGTTGCTCCACGGGAGCTTCCATCTTCCTCAGAACTTCTTCAAAGAAGTCAGGGGAGTAGTTCCCGGAGCGGTCCAGCTCGGAGGTGAAGTCATTGGGGATCGTACCGAAGCGAATGTTGTCAGGTTTGGGCTCCGAGCCGATGAAGCCGAACCACTCCTCGCTGACAACAAAGGTTACGAGAATGTCCCTATTTTTGGAGAGTAATGACTTGCAGAGGTTCATCATGGGGTTGATGTGTCCTCGAGAGGGGAAAGGCACAGCCAAAACGTGGCAGACGGTGGTCGGTTCCTTGCTGACGTGTTCCATCTCCGCTGACTTGAACGATCCCCGGTTAAATTGTATAGAACCTTGAGCCTGGAGTAGAGCCTTGGAGTGTTCTGTTTTCCAATGTAGTGACCTACTTACTTAACTAAGGGGAATGAAATTATTTTCTTCTTTCCATTTGAACGGTAGATGTTATCGAAGGGGCCAAAAGCAAGAGCCAACCTGACCCCTGGACTTACCCATGGCTCAGGCAACAACCCCACGTCAATGTTTGTGGCTGTGGAAGAATTCAACAGTGCACTGAGCAGTACATTGATTTTGACGGATCTAGTTTGAAGGTTTTTTAATGGTATGGCAGTTCTTTTCTGAGCATTTTTTTCCCATCAAAGTGAGTGCCTAAGCAGACTTCAACACTGGCCCAAATTTAATGAACCTGATGGATCTAGGCTTTTCTGATAATCAGCAAATTCTGGGTTCCGTCCGCCTTCTTTTTCTTCTTAATATTAGTACTATTTAGCTGTGGGCATTTTAAAATTATTACCCCGATCCTTCCCGAATCTATAAAGGATGATTGTTTTATTATTCAGATTTTATCTGAACTCGATTATAAAATATTTTAATTTTATTTAATCAGATTAAATAATACTAGATATTCCGTTACAAGATACATATAGCTAGTATTAGTATTTAGTAGTTAGATTCCAATACGGCCCAGAGACTTCATGTTGTGGACAAAAGGGCGGCATATGGACCATGATGATGCCCACAATGACCCCAGTCCTTGTCCGTCAGCCAGGACCACCTAAATTTGGTAAAACAAGAGGGAGGGAATGTGGGATTACTCAAATTTGTTGACAAAATAGAGCAATGATTTACCAAAATTCTGGAGTTGTTAAAGGTTCGTCTAGTCTTTGTGATGGTATTATATAGCCATGGACAGAAAAGGTTTTCCTGTTATTAGTCAGATACTGCACCAAACCCCTACGGTCAATCATGAAGAAAAAGCCCAGGACTATTATTTGTGGAAGTTGAGAGGCAATATCGGTTTCATTACATAAGGCTTTCATCAGCCTGCAGTCCATGAGGTTTGTCTTAAGGCATGTGGAAATGTCTAATTCGTAAGCTTGGAATTAATGTTTCCTTCACTCTCATATTCTCAAATCCATATTCCTTAACCTTTCCCTAACTCTAAAACCAGATGTTTATAGTCGATTTCACAAGTAAATGATGATTAGAAAGGAAACTTGTTCTGTTATTTTCATGGATAAATGCTTTGTTAGGATATGATATCATCCAAACGAAATCCTTGACTCAGCATGAACTTGTGATTCTTACTTACAAATTACAGTTAACAGGTCTGCAGTTTTACAGACAGATAATAATTCACAGTTTTAGGCATAACACCCTCAATATCAAATGGCAGTCTCCTTCTGAAAACAACTTTGGGTGGATGGGCCTCTGATCAGAAAATGACAGTAGACATAAAAGACACCCCCATAAAGAGGAAAAGCTCAAAAAAGCCCCACCGAGAAAACATGGCAAAAACCAATGAAGTAAAAAAGAAAGCAGAGAAATAAAATCATGAACATGCAAGAGGACCACTGTCATGGTTCGGTGGTCTAGTCCCCACAATAATTTGATTGCATTTCCTTGCTGAAATAATTTCACTGACATTTGACCTTTTGATTTATATACAATAAAAACCTTTCCAACGCTTTGTGAATATTGTTTAGTTGATGCAGTCCATCACAAAATGCCAGAAATAGACCATTCTTGGGTATGAACTGTAGGGTCAGTTATCTGCATAATGGTGATCAGGTCCACGACAGAAAGCTTCATTCGGAAGGGCCTAGAAAGTTAGGGATGGAAAAGATATTTCCATGTATCCATATTTCGGGCTGAGAGTTGGGAAAGATATTTTTCATTTAGACACAAACACAAAGCAGTATGCATTGGAAAAAGTCCACAGGGCAAAAGATATTTTCTGAGATATTTGAAACACGGTTTGGGTTATCTTCCTATGAAACTCTCTTCACGAACCGGCCCTGCAGCAACCCAAAAATAGCAGTAACCTTAATATTCGAAATTCGAATACCTGCAGATATGATACAGTAGAGAAAAAGAGAAAAGAGAAGAGGACAAACCTTGAGCCTTGGTCTTTTATCTGCATTGAGTTTGCGGACTTGATACCTTATCTTCTTGGAGAACAATCTAGTCTGACGCTTCTCTTTGTATCTAAGAACACTGGCTTCCCTTCTTGCTCTTTCTTCTTCCATCACAGGCACCTCCCCCATCTAGAGAAAATATAAAACTAAAGTATGTATCAACACTTACAAAATCGATTATAAGACTATTTTGTTAGATAATTCACCAGTTAATAATCTAACTTCGACAGTAGGAGTTTGGAAAGTAAAGAAGGGCAAAAAATTCATAATTAAATGAAGTTTCTGACAGAATTGTAGGCTAAAAAGGTTGAATTCCCTGGTTTTCTCTTCTTAATCAGATATAGGAATTGTAGAATTCAATTTTTCATCGTTGACAAAGAAGGGAAACATTTATAGATGCTGGTAATTAACATGAATTGTCTTCTTCTGAAAATACAATAAGAAACAGAAACAAGTATCAGAATACTAACATAGTAGCCATTGCTCGCCTTTGAAATCGAATAATCATCAGCCCATAGCGACCCACGATCAGACCAGGCATCCAAGACGTCCTGATAATTCAAATTCAAGTTCAAAGAAACCCTCTTCTCATCATCATCTTCCCAGAAACCAAGATTTTCTTTCTTTACGACCTTTTCATATTCACTTTCTTCTTCAAAGCACTTGCCTGAATAAAGTTTCCCGTCTCTTTCGTCCTCTTCATCTTCTTCCTCCGCATTGTGAAATTCGCCTTCCCAGTCCATGAAATCCCAGCTGAGATGACCATGAACCTTACTCCCTGCCAGTTTTTCTCCATTTTCAATGCCCAAAATGCCTTCCAGTTCATCCATGATATCAATCTCTCCACGTCCGTAGCTCTCCTTGGTGTCGTTGAATTCATTGACAGTGGCATCTGGAACCTGTTGCTCTTCCTTCTTTGGGCTCCTTAGCAATGAGTTGTTGTACCCCATCTTAACTAAATATCTAGCACGCTCTTGTCCCTCCTGTTTTACTCCCCTCTTTATGCACTGTTGTTGCATTGCATGGCAATTTCAACTTAACAGATGAGAGAGGCGTGAAATGGATATTTCTTTCCTCTCTCAATGCTTTTCTTGATCTACATGGCACCTTATCCTCATGCTATTGATGGATTCATTCCATACTTTCTCCTGATTGGCTATTTGGTTCCAGCTTGGAGGTAGACAGTGGGTCCTTTAGAACCTTTTTTCCTGCATGTGAATTGGGACCACTTTTAATTGTTCAAATAGTGAAAATTGAAATATGAACATCTTTCTCATGGAGAAAGGAGAAACATGTACACATCAGGAAGCACGTGATCAAAGCAAAGTTTCTTCCAGGGCACTTTCATAGGAACATGGTAATTATATCCAATTACTACTTGTGATGAAGAAGACGAAGAAGAAGAAGATTCCTTGTTAAGAAATGGTGGGTTGCTCATGCCGATCAGCCATCCCCTTCAAAACTTTAGTACGAATACTAACCGTCGTATAATTGGTGGGGTGCTTTGTGACGAGATTGGTACAATTAAGGTTATGTTTTCCAAATCAATAGGGATAGACGATTCGAATCTCACGGAATTATTTGTCATTAGGAAAGTTTTTGTTTCTGTCTCAACAAATACAGTTAACTGGACCTTATAATCTTTGCAATGCTTTGTTAAGGTTGAGAAAATTTGTTCTGCATATTAAAACTTCAAAAATTTGGACAAGAACATGACAAATTCAATACATCTCTCTCTCGCTATTAATAATTTCGTTGATGATTTATCCGAAAAAGTCTCAAATCAAACACATGACATGTTGTTGATAATTAATTATTTTGTACGTTTTAGAATTAACAATGTTATGCTTAAAATCCATATAATCCATCAATACATCTCTCAAATATTTATGATGATAAGTAACATATTTTGATTAATAGTAATTATTACATACATTAATATCCCAAAGTTGGTGCAAAAAAATGACTAGCTAGGACAATTATAAAGGGAAACAATCAGCATCGAATAAAGAGAAACCTGACATGGATGAGAAGGAAGACCACTTAAGCTTATCCTAACCCTAAGAGGGGTTGGGTTGGTGGTGCTCTCTTGTAGCTATCAGCTGTACCTATATATATTTTTTAATGATTTTAGTTATTAGATGAATTACAATTATTAATATTATTTTTTATTTTTTAAAACATTTATAATAAATAAAATTAAATAAATTATTAATTATTAATATAATTTTTTTAATATCTGAATATTTAATTTATTGATTGACTTAATAAAAAGAAATGATTTGACTTAATAGTAATAGTACCGTATGCTAACTAAGTAAAAAGTACCCTCTTCCCCTTCAATAATTTGAAGGGAAAAGGGCGCTTTTTCCATGGCCACAGCAACAGCAAATTTGGGGGAACTTTGTCGGTGGCTTAGGAGTGGTAGAAGAACAGTAGGACTAAAAGGAAAATTCGAGGAAAAATAAGGGGCAAGAGGTTAAGTTTAGAAACCACCATAGATTCTTCGAAAAAATCAACAAACAAAATGATGAAGATAGAGAGGTTCTTTTGACTTGTCATTGTCTCACCTATATAAGTATCTCCCAATGAAATCTAATGATTATTTAGGATTTTAAAATTTCCTTTTTAATTCGAGAATTTCTTTTAATTGAACGTTTTAAATAATTTTGATGGCATAAAAATAAAAATATTTATATTTTTATTCCATTACTATTATATAAAATTAATTAATTATTAAAATAAAACCACGTGAACGTCAAATATCAAATTTAACAAAATTATTTGTCAACTCATTTGTAACATGAGAAAAAGAAAATTACATGATATTAATAATTAGCACGGTAATATAAAGTCATCGGAGACACCTAAAGCTAAATTAATGATGGTTAAACTCCTTGAAAGGGGTGGTTACATAACACTGTTAAAAAAAGGACTATATAGGTTTTACCAACCATGCAAACTTCCTAGAACAACCTGAAAATATAACAGTTGTGTCGAGTTTGGTATTTAACCATTTCATTAATTTATTAATTTTGAAGAAGAACCTTAAGAAGAAGTAGCAGTAGTAGTAGTAGTAAATAAAAGAAGCAAGAAGACAAGTTAAATGAATGAGGGACAGCTTCTAAATTTGACTTGATAGAAATACTTGAGCATAAAGTTAGGAACTTGCTGCTTCGGGGGTTTTTCTAAGTACTCTTCTAATTATTATATAAAACATTTCTCTGATTTTGAAATGAATGTGCTGCTAATAAAATATTCGACCTTTGCTGTATTGAACACATATAATCACTCTATTAAATATATACATTATGTCTAAGCTTTGCCATGAAGAGAGCACTTCTTCTTTTAATTACTGTTAGCTCCTCACGTGAAGAAGGGTAAGCCTGATTATACTTTTTTATCAAAGGCATTATTTGTGAAGCTGTTGCATGGGATGGGCTGTTTTCCTTGAAAACTTACTGGTCTACCCCATGAATCTCATCACCCCCATTAAGGTCACCTAGAATTAAGAATGGCTGAGTCTAGGGTAGACACAGGATTTTAACTTACTTTAGACAAAAGAAAGATATCGTATCATTAGTCATATAGTGTCTCTATCAAGAAATTAAGAGAAGGTTTTTAATTAAAGTCTAAACCCTACTATTCTCGCTACCTCACATGCATAGTTTGACCCCATCAAGGAATTTTTTCCTTTCCGTAACTCAAGATTAATAGCGTTAATTATATGTTAATGGCGTTTTCTCTCTTTCTTTTCTTTTTTGCCCTTTAATTACCATGCTAATTGCAACAATAACCATACAAATTAATCCAACGAAAATGAGAGGGATTAGGAAAGAAACAAAAGAAGAAGAAAGGAGTAGTGTACAACTGCTTCATTGGAACTTATTAATTAAAACTAAGTCCAAAGAGACTCTCTCTTGAGAGCTGGGTCTTGGATTACATTGCCAGAAGAAGCGAAGTTGAGGTATTGGGAGATGTTATCTAAGTTACTAGTACTGGCTAGGAGGAACGACTTGTCATCTTGAGGTATTTGAGTCTGCAAGGGCGATTCCTGCTGCATCTGAATGCAAAGTATCTCTGTCTGGGCCACCGCCAGTTGCATTTGCAACTGTGATACTTGATCCTGAAGGTAGGATATGGCCCCGACGCACCCATACACCGGGTCCCTCACTCTAGCATTTGCTTCATAAACCAAGCTACTCACAGCATCCGCTCTCTGGTGAACCGGTAGGTCCTGTACATATAAGATTTACGACAAGATATTAATTAGAAGAAACAGCTAGCCTTGGAACTATATCTATACATATATCAAGCATGCATTTATTTCTAAGATACAATATTGCCCAAAGTTCCGAACACATACATGCATAGAAAACGAGGATAATTTTCTGGATTGTAAATGAATTAATTGATGAACTTGTTCAGAATGATGTTCTTTGTCGATTAAAAATATCTTCAGTGATATATATAAAAGAATGAGTCTATTAATGAAATTCATTAACTTTTATATATATATATATAAGACTGAGGGTAGAGAGAAAGAAACCTGCAACATTTTGCTGACATTGCTAGCACCAAAGACTTTGTGGACAATGGCAAACTTGTGAGGGTCATCGGAAGGGAAGTAAGGAGCAAAGATGCAGTCCTTGGCGCAGCGACGCCTCAAGAGTTTGCAGGACGCGCATGGTGAAGAACCTCCCATCGATTTCTCTGGTGATATATCTCAAAGAACTACACCCAAAGCTGTAGCAGAGAGGGTTTTCTTTGATTGTAAACAAGGAAGAAAATAAAAAAACAAGCAAACCAAGCTTAGTGTTGAAGAGAAATGGAGATTAAAATGCCTATTTATAATGGTTGTGGAAAGAACCCACATGTTTTCATGATTAAAAAATAATAATTTAAAGCATTGGGTCGAATTGATCATGAAGGTAGGCTGATGCAAAAACCTTGATTATGTACACTATAATCACACTTATGTCCATGTCTAACAAGGATGTCATAATTTTTACAAGGGCAATAAGGTCAGTTTTGGAGACAGAAACGAGAATCTTAATGGAAAAACAACAGGATGTGAGTTGTCCACCGCCAATTGGCGCGTGATAGGTTGTCATCCATGCAGGTGCGGTTGTGTAGTCTTCACGTTCTTGATGTTTGACTCTTCTAATTTTGTAGTAGTTGAACGAGTGATTAAGAGAATAATTAAATCAAATATATATGTATTAAATAGAAAAAAAAATTATAATTTGCATAAAGAGAGTGTGTGAACAAAAGGAAAGAATCATAGAACGATAAAACAATCTCTAATGCAGAAGATTTTTACTTCAATTCAGAACAAAAGGAAATGTAAAATTATAAATACATAAATCTAAAATCTAAGAATCTATAACCTAAATAAGATAAAAGATTTTCGTTCTTGTAACGGTGTTTGTGTTTTTAAATATATGTTTGAAAGACCGGTCAACAATATTAGGCTTAGAGACAATAACTAGGAATAGGGGTTTAGGGTAATAAAGCAAAAGAAACTAAGATGTGAAACTCTAACCTCAATTGGATCGAGACTCAATGAGAAATGGGCTCAACGTGAATGTTTGTTGGCGGAGATTCACATGCATGGAAACATACATAACATCTCTCTCTCTCTCTTGGTTTGATTAACCCTGCGAATCACGATGTAGGCAGCCATTAATGAATGCTTAGCAACCTAGTTATATTCAATTCAGATAAAACAATCAAATGCTGCAGAGAAAACATCGAACTTGCCTCCCATCTTTCTACAATGCATTTTCGTTTACATTTATTTTGGGAGGTGCTGTCCAGTCCAGATTCACGGTGATGATGACCTGCTTAAATATTTCTGATTCGAGTTTATGGAGAAACCCAACCTCGTGGAGTAGAATACAAATTTATACGAAAGTAGCTTCAGGTATCAAAACAACTCAATAGATTATGTATAAACTCAATTTAATCGCCATTCTGCGTAGACGAATACATTAAGGAAGACTCGTATAATAACCAGCACGAAACCAATATGCACCCGTTGCTTAGAGCAAATATCAAGAACAAACTCAAATTTCAAAAAATTAATTTCTTTCCCAAAACAGTAACAAAGCTTTATTCCTTAATGTAATGTTTAATTTTTGAACTGCTAGCATGTGTTTCATTTGGATAATCTTTTATCATGTCAAGAGAATCAAATTCGATTATGGATCTCGAGATTTGTAAATTTATAAGATTTTCAAGAAATAAAAAGCAAATAAGAGAAAATAGAAAATTTACAAAAAAAAAAAAAAGAAAAACACAAAACTGCTAAATCATACATTACGAGAAAACATGAAAATGTTTATTACGATACATATCCCATGTAAACGTGTCTTATGATTAATGCATCATCACAAAATATATTGCATTGAGGGAATATATATTCTTTCCTTAATGAAATTTCAAGTCCCCCTCAGCTTACCTTTATAAAAATTATGAGGATAACATAAATTAGCCATAAACCTACAAGCAATTAATATCAACCAGTCATGAGATCCGACATGAAGCTGATGCTTAAGGATTATAAAAAAGAAACGAAACCCATTTCGAGAGAGATTGAAACAAAAAATATGAGGGGTTTGTAGAAACCCTAAGACCTATTTCGGACTGTTGCATTAAATGTCCTTCACATGATTTCCAAGCCTTCCTAATCTTCTGTTCCGAGGACAACAGCTCTCTTTTACCTAGTTGTCATGGCATATGCCTAATCTTTTTTATATGCACTTTGTCTTATAAACCAAGTTTATGTCTTGCTTTTTTAATCAGAGTACTCTCATCGGAATCAAATGATATACTCTCTTAATATCGTAAACATAAAAAAAATAATAATAAACATTTAGGGAGGAAAAAAGCAATAAGAATTAGAACAGAAGCCACCTGTTGAAATTCTTTTATTTGCATTGCCTCACAAAGCGGGTATTCTACTGTCTGGCTTTCCAAGTTTTCAAACCCCTAAGCACTAGGAAAGTAGGAAAAACCCAAAGCTCTAGACCGGACAGAACCTTGTAAACCATGTTTTGTTGTAATATTATAAGGTAATGAATAAAATAGAGGAAGAGAAAAAAACAGACATCTTTTCACAATCTTAGAGGCCAATGTGACATGCAAGCTCCAATGCATGACATTAAATGAGCTTGGTGATTTGGAAGATTCGGTTCTCGAATTATGCATAGTTTTTTCAATTCTGAAAGAAAAAACGGTGGAGTCTAGAAGCAATGTTTGACAATGGATGGGATGGAAAACGAAAACTGACCTACAAAAGAAAATTCAATTGCTTGAACAGAGTGGTGTTGGATTTCCAACGCAAAACATACGTGATTCAAACTTTACATGGTAAGACTCTATCATCAACTCGGTGCCAGGGATTAAAAAAATAACAGGAAAGGAAGGAAGCAGTGGGCACTAAGCACATGATATCATGATAGATTTCGTTGCTGCAGTGCTAAGCTTTCCCTTCAAAATGCAATGAAAATGTTAAGGTTAATTTGAGAATAATTACAACTTTCAACTTCTCCAACCTTGTTTTCTAAGTTGATAATTAAGCTACATCTTTAATTTCTTTATCAATGACTTTTTAATATTACGAGTCCCCTTTCTTTTCTTTTTTTTTTCTTCACAGAGGTCAAAAGTCTGAAACCAACAAAAATACCGCCCACTTTTTTTACCTACTTCATAGGAAAAAGCAACCGATCAAACTAAACTAGTCTTATCTCCGCATGCGAAATGTGGAGCAAGGACAAATGGATTTCTTAAAGTTGGCCCATAAATAAGCACACTTGGGCCAACCCGTCAGTTGCCCACGTCCAGGGCGAGGACCCTATAAGTTTCGTAGATGTCTCTAAGACAAACCTTGATTGCCAGCCCATGGTAACCCAGCAAGACTCGAAAATGAAACTTAATCAGCAGAGAGAATCTTCCATTTATCATTTCCATGCGCAAACGAAAAGATGAACATGATGAAGGAATAGGCAAGAGACAGGAAAAAGGCGTCCCAAAAGTGTGCCATAGGGGATATGTCAATTAGTATCATCAGATTATTTTTAACACAAATCTGACCATGTCAACCTAAGAGTGAAAATTAACAGCATGAAAAGACTGACCAACATTGTTTGTACTGTCATGTCTGTTCATGAAACAGACTGCTTGGGGCAGAGGAATCGGGCAGACCTTCAATTTCTGGTGGAATCTGATTCAATGCTAATCAGCTGTACCTTTTTCTGCCTTGCAATCAATTTTCTCTCATTGTGCTTTTTAATCCCATTTCTGTACAGAACGCTGGCAGCAAAACGTGGTTTCTTACAAATTGGAGGCTGGTGACTGCTCCTCTCGCTTGTTTTCTTTCTCAAGTATTCTGCAGTCTGTGCCTGAACTGTGATGAACAAACGTACTTCCAATATTTTAGCATTAAAATGAATCTCGATCACCGAATATGCACATAAAATGAGAATCCTAAGTTTATAGTTTATCATCACATTCACATTACAGGAAGCCCATGCCTTAGTTGTCTACACATATAGAAGAACAAGTTGAAATTCAAAACAATTTGAAACAGAAGAGGCTCATCATGTTTTCTCTGCACGCATGAGAAGACCTTTCCTTCATCAATTTGAAGATTGAACATGATTTAGGAAGTACACATGAGACATACCAGAGCCTGATGCTGCCAAAGTTAGAGCAGAATTCTTAAGTTTGTTTATTTTGTCAGTAACTTGCAGTTTTTCCAATGATTCATCTGTTTTGGACTCTGCAACATCATTCCTCTTAAGGCAAGAGAGTGCATAGTCACAAGCCTACAAAACCCAAAAATCAAATTAGGATTCTCAAGAATCGAATATTATCTTGTACTACTAGCCAAGATGAACACGTTCATTTTTAAAGTACCTTTACGGCAACAGCATGAAAACCATTTTCTAGTGATTGCTCGGCAAAATTAAGCCATTCCAGATGTGAAACTTGCAGCCATTTTTGGATTTCGGACTTGTGATCACGAAGAACCAAAGCCTCGTACCTCAAAGCCAAACAACTCTGAACCGAAAAACATCAAAAGGAAAAAAAAAAGAATTCCAGGACGGAAAAATCAGTGGATTTACAATAACAATGGCGATTATCGAAGAAAATTAAGGATTTTTCTTCTTCTTTTTTGTTGTAACCTCGATATCACCGATAATAGCAAACGCTTGAACGAAGAATTCGAGAACGGAGAGCTGTTGATCCACAGTTTTGGCTGCAATTTGAAGAATAGCGGAGAGCGATTCAGATCTGATGAACTCTATCAAGTTCGACCGTGCTTGGATAAGCGATTTAACGTCTTTGGAGACGAGAAGGGATTCGAGAATCCGGAGAGAATCGTCGTTGAATCTGCACGGAGAAAAGGAAAGAATTTAGAAGGTAATTAAAAAGCGAAATGATAGCAAAATGATGGAATCAATGGAGATTTGGGTGAACCTTTTGTTTTCTATTTGGGAGCGAAAGAGAGAGATTTGCTGATCCACTCCGACGTCCGCCATTTCGGCCTGGGGAAGGAATTGGCGGGTAATGGATTAGTTTAAAACAGTTCATTTTTTAGTTTTTTGTTGTTTATATTTTATTTTATTTATGTTAAAAATAAAAGAAAATATGAAAAAGGTATTCAAATCTTAGTATTTATTTTTAAAAACAAATAAAATATTTAAAAAGTCATTCAATTGAATTTTTCAAAAGAATTTGTTATGTCACGAATTTACAATTCAAATTCAAAAAATATATTTATTAAATAAAAAAAATTCTCGTTGCACTAGATTGAAATTTTTTAAATATTATTATTTTTAGTAAAATCGCATATTCGTTTCCATTCACACTTTTAACTCAAAATATATATCTATTAATTAAAAAAAATTCTTATTTACTAAAAATATACAAATTTAATAGGTTAATTATATTATTTCATTAAATAAAATTATCCTTTTTATAAATAAAATGTTTGTTGATAATTACATAAAGAAAATAAGGTTAATTAATAAAAAATAAAGCATCCTAACTGATACTTACATAAATAAATCGCTAAATTTTGGGGAAATAAAACAAAACAGCAACACAGGTCGTAAACGACGCCGGACCAGCATGGCCGGTCGCAACCGCCTTCCACCGCAGTCATCCTTAGCCCGCGCCATCCCCGAACGCCACATCACTCACCACCACCACCTCGAAGACCGAATCTCCATCCAACACCGCGAGATCCAATCACTCCTTCTCGACAACCAACGCCTAGCCGCCACCCATGTGGCGCTCAAGCAGGACCTAGCCCTTGCCCAGCAAGAGCTCCGCCACCTATCCGCGGCCGCTGCCAACGTCAAAGCCGAGAGGGACCCCGAGGTGAGGGAGGTCTACGAGAGGTCACTGAAGATGAACGCCGAAGCGCGCGCCTTTGACGCGATGAGTGCGGAGCTAGCTCACGTACGGGCTGACGTACAGAAGTTTGCGGTGGACCGTCAGGAGCTAACGGCTCAATTGGAGGCGGTCAACAATAAGTTAGCCAAAGCAAGAGCGGAGACGAAGCAAGCGGCGGTAATTAAGGCTGAGATGGAAACCGTACGCCAAGAAATTCACAAAGGAAGGTAAATTCTCTGCAAAATTACATTTTTTTCTTAAAAAATTATTTCTTTTTAATTCTGTTACTTTGATCCTATTATAGAGATGGGTTTTTCTTTTTTACTTGGAATGGAAATTGGAACAAAAAATTAGTGTTAATTCTAATGGGAATTACGCATGGTGTCATCTCTATGATGCTTCTAGTGGAAAGTATAGTAATGGAGGAAAGGGAAGGCAGGAATTTGAAAAGCAATTCTTAGTTGGATAAATGAATAGCAATTGTCATGTCTATGATACCATTGATACATGAAAGGCTAAGAGCAAACAAAGTAATCATAAGAATCTCTTTGGTTATTGAACTACAAGATTGAAATCATTAGTATTGGATTTAATGGTTCAAATTACTAGTATTAGATATAAGTTGCCTTGAAAGTGTTTTGGGGATGAGGAATTTATAGCTCTTAAGCAACTCCTTTCATGGATGAAGATGAGTTATGCCTTTAGCATCCTGGTCCCCTTCTGTTAGATGGATATGATTCAAAGGATACTCTTATGCTACTTCTCCGGGTTTGGCAAGGGGGACTACTAGTATTTTACTGATCCAACTAGATTCTGCTTTGAAGATAATAATGTTAGACATTGAAGGTTCTCGGTTCAGTTTGTGCAACTGATGGCTTTGTCAAGAATGGCAAGTGATTTTCGTATAGCCATTTCCTAAGCAGGATTTGAGTCGATTGTAATTTGGATTCAACCCAACTGTTTTTTTGACATTATTGATTTTAAAATACATTATTATTATGAGCACAAGATTCGTTGGATGTTGGTGAAAATAAGAACTTACAGTTGGAAATCATAACCGTTGAACACATTGAGTAGCAGCTTTATGTGCATGTAGTTGATGCAAAGAGATAGTGATGAAACCAGGATTTTGAGTGAACTTCCACTGGAATGAATTGTGAGCCAATTAGTAAGTCGGAGAAAAGCACAATTCATCTTAACCTTGTAAACATATCTTTGGTTGTGATTAGGTCTGCTATTGAACTTGAAAAGAAGACGCATGCTAGTAACCTTGAACAACGTCAGATATTGGAGAAGAATATAATCCTTGTGACTCGGGAAACAGAAAAACTACACGCAGAACTTGCTAATGCAGAGAAGAAAGCAAGGGCGGCAGCTGCAGCTAACCCAAGTAATAATAATCCCCCTCTTTTAACTTGCTCCCTTCCAAGCATAACCTCAACATCCTCAGATCAATTCCTGACCTTTTGTTATTTGCATTTAGGCCCTGCATATAATGGAAACTATAAAATTGTTGATACCAAGTATGGAGGAAGTTCGTACCCTGATACGTATTCCATGCCTCTGGTATGCCCCTGTTCATATTATGCTTTTATCGGTATACACTCGATTGGAGTAAGAAACTGAGCAAATGTGGATAAATATTTCTGGATTGATTGATTGATTATGTAAAAGTGTTCAATGAAAGAAATGCTTATTGTTACTTGATTTCAGGCTGCTGCTGGTCCGGAATCTGTTCCTGGGACGAGATTCACAGTTGCTTTTGAGGGCCAAGGATCCCATACACCTTATGAGAATCAAACTGGTAAAAAATTTGTGCTGAATTCAGAACCAATTTCTACCGTTCCAAACAGTAAATCCGAGTAGTTCATTTATAAGCA